AACAATTCTAAACCATAAAAAACATTGGCGTACTTGTCTAACCCTCCTCCTCCTCCACCATCATCTTTATCGTTGAAGAAATACTTATCTTTGATCTTCAGATAAGCATGCAATGTCAACAAACTATCTGAGCCAGCTTGATGACTCTTCCCTATAACCCGATCCACTCCCAATTCCTTACATACCCGATCCAACCCACCATGTAAATTCCCACAAAACCTCATTATGTGCTTTATATCATAAACCCTATCTCCAAAGTACACCCTCACTCTTTCGAAAAACTCGTTTAACTCCTCAGGCAGCACTTTCTGAGTCAAACATTTCACCAAGTAACCAAAATCATATGCACAGTGAAACGTTACCCAACTCACTGAGTGATTCAGCACCAGCCCACTCGACATCATCAACTCAGCGAATTTCACCGAATCAATCCCCAGCTCACGATTCTTCTCGAAATCAATCCCCTGTCGCCTCAATAACTCCACCGAGTCATGCGCATGTGCATCACGCGCCACATCAAAATCCCTAAAATTGAACTCCCAAATAAACCCAACATCTTTAAACCCTAGATCGGGTAAATTCCCATCCTCGTCAGCGATCGTGAGTCCGATTTGGATCAGGTTTAAGAGATCAACGTTTGCTTTGAGGCTCAAGTAGTGCGCCCTGGGGCCGCTATGCCGATTATACGGATCTCCAGCGGCAGGACGGACAACGATGCCAGGAAACTCCGTGTCCATTGAGATTAACGGGTATCTATCGATTTCCGATCGGATCAGCTTGAATTCTTCTTCCAAGTTGTCTGCCCAGACAGATCGGATCACGACACCCTTCGCACGTTGCGGCGGCTGTTCATCGGAGTTTGACATGTTCTGGATCCGTCTATAAAAAGGGCATTAAAATTTTAAAATTCGGGTCGGGATGGGTAGGGTTGCTTTTTTCGGGTTGATGTTGATGGATTTTCTATTTAATTGAAATTTCACGAGTCGTGGTTTTTATAGGGAGATGAGACGTGGGGTTGTCGCGAAGGGAGGCGGTTTTGTTGTTTAAGAATCAGAAATGGGGGTACAGGTTGGTAAAGCGAAACGTGGAATATAATTATTATTTATTTATTTTTATTAGTTTGTCCATATAATTAGAATTCTTTTTGTTTGGGTTTAAATGATGGAAATGCCAATGAACTGGATGTGGTTGGTGTCTACTTGTGTTTTTTTTTTTCCTTTAAATTGTATTTGGTTAATATTTTAAAATAAAAATATATTTATTTGAATAGATAAATATAAAATAATTTGAAGGGCAAAAAGAGGTCGCAATGGTTATTGATTAGGTCTGAGATATTCGGGAGAAGAGCAAAAAGAGTTTGTTAACGCTGAAGGACCAATAGCGATGGGGCCTGCTCCCCCACAGTACCAATAGCAAGAAACCACCTATATCAAATCTTTCCCATCCATATTACTAGAAATCTATTGAGTTTTTATGGACAAATTTAATTTCCAAACCAGCAGAGTTCCCATTCTAGCACATTAACAATGGTGGCAAATATAGTATATGTGTAATCTATTTCAATAGAAAATAAAGAAATAAGGAAAAAAAAGTGGAAAGTTGTCCCACGATCATGTTATTTTTAATGGATATAAAGAGGAATTCATTTAGTAATATTAGTTTTTTTTAAAAAAAAAATCTTGGTAATTATAGTATGTTATCTTTGATTCTTTTAGATTAGACTAAATGATTTATATATTTTAGCAAACTTTTTTAGAATTAAAAAAAAACATTTAAATGGTAGTATAAAATTTTTATATGTGCATATTATTAATAAATGTCTCTTATATAATTACAATGAACTCTTTACAATAAAAACATTCAAAAAATTATAATTTTAATATTATTATATTAAAGTTTGTTGAGTTCTTAATAAATTTTTTTATTTACATCATATACTTTATATATTTCTATTATGCAAAAGAATTTTTCAACAATAGAATTCATTACAAAATAATTTATAAATATTATAATATAATATTATTTTGGATAATAAAAAATATTTTAAGTTTACGTGCATGGTTCCAATACAAGAGAGGTAATTATACCGCCGACTGGAAGGATGAGATATCTTGCTCCTCCTGAATATGTATGCCCTGCCATCTCTACAGAGAAAACTCATGTTTACATCTTTGTCTTGTGGTGCTAGGGTGACCAGGGGAAGAAGGCCAGTTGATGCTGATGGAATTGTGGTCCAGGAGAAGGGCAAAAAAAAGCTGCAGATGCTGAAAGGCTATTATGGGTTGGGTATTGTTTGCATTAGGATACAATAGCTTTAGTTCTAGTTGTAAAGCTAGATCGATTAATGTTAGGTTTTGCTCTAGAAAAACCCAATTGTTTTAGATTTAATTGTCTAAGTATAAAAAGACCTAATAACTTTGAATTCGGCTTCTTATCAGTGTTGGGTCCTGTTTCCAGCTGGAGCTGTTAATATTGAGTCGAACTGCAAAACTTAATCTCTATTGGGTGTAGCATGATCAATGTTCTTTATTCTCTTTATATTTTTTATACATTTTAAAAAATTATTATTATTGACTCATCACAGTGTATGGAGCAGTATGCTAGTCATGGATTAAAGATTGCTTCGATTTAAATAATCGAGGGGGAATGTACAATGAACTTTGATGCTTGGCTTTTGCTCAAGAAAAATTGTATCCTTTTCAATGATTTTAGAGTATAGTAATGGGAAGTGGTAATACTTTTTAGTTAAATTGGATCCATCCACGTCTATTCACACTTCCTCAGAATCCAATTAAATTTGGCTGTCTCTAAGCCATCAAGAAAGCATAAATTGCTGATAACAAAAAGCATAAGAGCATTTTAAACCCAAACCAAAAAGAAAAATAAAATAAAATAATGAGCGTTGTCTCAGGATGTGTTTGGGATAGACTCGTACAAAAAAAAAAAAACCCTAGCTTTTGATAGTAGCTTTTTTTGCATTAAATAAATTGTAATAAAAAAAAGAAGCAATTACACCTCACCAGTTACCATACCTCTATCCCAATACCCTGATTACGAATTCAAGTTAAAAAAAAAGAAGAAGAGGAAAACTAATTAGATTTAGAGTTACCAATGTGTTTTTTTTGGTTAATTTTTATGGTATTTTTTACTTAGAAATTTATCAAAATAATATTTTTTATTTATTTAAAAAATTATTTTTGATATCAATACTTTAAAATAATTTAAAAATATAAAAAATATTAATTTGAAATGAAATAAAAAATAAAATAATTAAAAAACACTTTTAAAATGAAAAATAAATAGATTATTTAATGTTCCATACTTGAAGTTAAAAGAAGCATATCATTCTGACTTGGATCTCATTGTATTCTTCTTCTTTTTTAAAGCATGATATTAATCACCCCACTTTTATAAAACTAATGGATGAGATTAAACACATCCAAACTCTTAATTTTGCCCAACTACAAGAACATGCTTCTACTTTAACAAGCCTACAAGAATCTTCCACTCGAAAGTCCAAACTCAACAATCATTAAAAAAGAAAAAAGAGAGAGAATGCACATCGGAATGGACAGTTACAATTCGGAGATGACTTCAATACCGTGGGCTAAAAAACAATTATTGTAATAGTTCGGACCAATCTATTATACATTGTCTGTTTTTAACTTGATTGTCTTCAAGATTTTATTTCAAGTGATGTAAGCTAATTTCTAAATTTGATATCTTAATATATATATATATATATGACAAATTAGCATATATATTATTAATAAGACCAATAACTAATCTTTTATTTGTTAATATAAGATCTTACATTTCATCTTTTTAAAAAGCTCGATGACCACGTCGATATCATTAAATAGCTAATGAGGTCGGTTCTAATATTAAATATAACAACCCTATTTAAATTGTTATATATTATCTATTTTGGATCTTACTGTTATTATAATTTTGTTAATAATATCACGAGCTCACTTTTAAACATGACATTTCAAAATAAATATGAAAGGTTTATACCAGCACTATTAATAAAATTAATAAGTAACTCCTTACTTATTAATATAATATCTTATAATTATAGTAATAAATAAATTTGTTACGTTACTGATTGTTTATTTATTTTATTATATATTTTTTGATTTGATGGCAAAATATCAGTGCATGCAATTATGCAACGTATAAAGGTCATGTCATGATTCATTAGTTTGAAGCAAGCAACGAATCAAAGGCGGAAAATAAGTTGAAGCAAGCAAACACTTCATCTACTGGGAAAAAAAAAATAAAAAAATAGAGGTTTCCACTTGCCTTCCTTTGGATTCACTCTCCTTTATCCACAACTCTAGCCTCAAAAGTTTCCTGCGGTACCTAACCGTTGATTTTTCAAGTTTACATTGTTGGGGTTACTAAATCCTTTCTGGGTTTGAACACGCAAAATGTAAAAGAAAAACAGAACACACTAACCTATAAGTTTCTAGGTATATACTAGCCGGTCCAAAAAAAATTAACATACAAAAGGGACGCTCCAGCGGTAGTCGTGTTTACCTAGAAGTAAGAAAAACTTGATGCCCAGCTGACTAACTTGGATCATTTCATAAATAACAACCTTTAAACAAAAAATTAAACAAGTTCATCATATCTTTTTTATTAAAACAATTTTTTTTTCATTAAAGCAGTTTTAGACAATATAAAAATTAATTTTTACACTATCCAAAAATACTTCAATCAACTTCAAAAAAAAAAATTGTTTTTATCTAGAATACCAAACACTTCCTCAACGCGGCGAGGAAATTGTAAAACATTGAAAGGCATATATAAGGACACCTGTTCTCCTCGCTTGACAATGCAGGTCAGATGCTTTCTTTGGGTTCTATAATTTACGTAAGCACGGGCTCCGATGATAAAAAGCTAGCCATTCCACGGAAATCGACACCCAAAGTCACTTTGTTCAAAGTAGACGGCTTCATACATTCACAAAAGGCACATTGCGAGCACCCAAAGGAGACCATAAAGTATATGCTCATGATGCTAAAACTAAATTACTGCTTGATGGGTGTTTTTAAATATTTGACACACTGATAAATCCCATTAATCAAACAGCATCCCTTAATACAGTTCCATGAAATAAGACAGACAAAATGTCAACGAAGCCATGAAAAGGTAACTGGAGAAACTTTTTGAGGGCATTCCCCAGAGACCAACACTGGATTATAAACTACATATTGCACATTGCAAAAACAATATGCTCCATTATCTATATGACCTCGGAAGCTAGAAGTAGGTACCCTCAGGAGGCTGGACCAGCTTACGGTTGTGTGGTATTGCCATCTCCTTCTTCAGCTGTGTCAGTATGTCCTCCATGGTGTACTCTCGCTGCCAATTTGCAAGAAGTCCGAACTTTTTTGGTTCCACCTGCATGAATTGCATGTTGTCAGCTTCTTACCAAACAAAAAAATTGGATAACGCCCACGGATATGAAACATAGACTAAAGTATGGTAAGAAACCAAAGTGTGGATGAACCAGAACCATGGGAGTGGAAAATTGGGTTTTACACATTAGCATCCGGATATCATGATAGAAAAAACCACTCCCAGAGTCCAATAATATTAGTCAAGTAAGCAAAAAGAAAAAAAAGAAGTTATTAGTTAATTTATAAAATTAGATAACAATTACGTTCTGCATTCTACTAATAGATTGTTTCATTCCCCACATATTAATTAGAAATTCTATTTCCCCAAACTTGGAAGTACACTAAATTTTTTTTATTGTTTTGCATGATGAACTATCACTTTGGGATGGATGAGTACAAAATGTTGCCAGAAAGTTCCACGGCATGAATCAAACTTAAGCAATCAGTACAACATAGAATAAGATAGATAAGCAGAAATGTGCTACCATACCACTCCAGTTTCATGGTTAACACAAGTCATATTGATCCGTGAATGAAAGCGAACACTTGGTGGTTTCTCCGGGTAATCTTTATCACAGAAGAGCTTTAACTGATAAATTCGACCTTCATGTACAGTCTGACATAAAAAAAAAGCCATTAAACTTGTAAGGTATCCAGATTTGTAGAAGCTAAACCCACTAACACATGCCACCAAAGATTTATTCTGCAGTAAGCGCCCACCAAAAAAAGATTTTCTTTTTCTTTTTTCACTTCAATTGTTTGAATAAAGAAGCAGTTTAAAAGCTAACTCCTCCTTTTTAAAATTGTTACATTTAATCTGAATAGTTCCTCCTTTATTTTAGAGATTTCCCCAAGCAAACTAAATCAAACAAATTTAAGCCAGTTAGCAAATCTAGCATCACTTCAAACATGTAATACACAACGCTTTATCAATGGACACAGATACAGTAATTAAGTTCTCAAAGTCATTAAAGAATAAAGCAAATGAGCTCATTGCCATGATTAATGAAAGCCACCACCTATACTAAAGGAGTTTTTTCAAAAAAAAAAAAAAAAACTGAGTATGACATGTTGTAATGAATGACACCCAACACTGTGCAGTCTAAAGCAAACCTATCACTATGCTTAGCTCAAAACCAAATCTTAAGCAGCTGCATAGCAATAACAAGTCAAGAGTCCAACAAATTGTTAAAGATACTATCTGTTGCATTACAAAAACCACCAGAATTTCAGGCCTTTAGGAACACCAAACCTAGGATCCATACAGATGCTATATTTCTTTCTGTGTTTGAAATAAGATCATTTACTAGGCCAGTGGCATTCTCAAACAGAATGCATATACATGCAAATGCACAAGCATATTGTCTCATCCTATGGACAATTTTAACAATCATGAACATAAATATCAAGAATTTACATTGTGAGGACCAATTATAGTGCCAGTCCAAGAGCGCATGTAAATGTCATCTCCATCATCCATTCCATAGCTTACTGTGCCATCTCCAATGCCTTTTTCTCCACGTTCAAGTTCCTCCAGCAATCTGAAGTTCCGAGGGACTGCATGGAAACTTAAATAGTCAATATCACCCAATCTTCTACATCATCAATGAGATAAAAGGAAAAAAAATAATAACAATAATAATAATAATTGAAATGCCAAACAAGTTCATGCTCCAAACTAACTGTAAGACAATTAGAGATTTTTACAAAGATACTACCTAATTCCATTGTTTTCAAAGACATAACCTTCATACAGTAAAAAGCTCAGTTCTTGAAGAGATAGAAGAATCCACTTAATAGTTTAACTCAACAACTAGAAATTCTACAAATTTGCTTAAAGTATGATATGAACACGAGCCTGCACAAGTACAGCCACACCTCAGAATCCACCAAACCAAGACCTGACAAAGCAACGCCCAATAAGTGTGAAAACACCATTATAACATTATTAGCTATATCTTCCGGCAACCATACAGAAAACAACACCTCGCCAATTATCAATCTATAACAATCATAGACCAAGTCCTGAACACGTTGAAGTGAAAAATTCATCAAAAACATAAAATTTCAGTTTCCATAAACAGACTGACTGCCATGATAATCAAGCAGATTAGACCCATACACAATTGCAATCACCCAATTTAAAGAACCCATCAATTTTACAAATAAAAACAATCCAGAAGCAGATTTAATAAAAAAAAAAACGCAAGATAAATACAATCATTACAGGCTAACAACAGTACCCATAATCCCAAATTAAAGAATTGAACATAGCTCAACAGAACACACAAGATGGATAAACAACAGAATCTATAAGCTATCAAACAAAAGGCAGAAGTCAGAGCCCGCGGATCATTGAAAAAAATCGAATAAGGGACTAACCCACGACACTCGATCCTCCTGAGCCAAACGTCATGGATTGTTTCACTATTGAGGCTCCTGTTTGTCGGTGTTGATGAGATCTGGTTGAAATGGAAGAAAGAATAAGAGAGAGCGAGGAGTCAGAGATAGAGAGAAGAATCTTGGGAACAATGAATCGACTTGGCAAAGTGGAGAATAAACTTTGAGCAAATAATAATAATAAAAACTCATGTAGGCTCTGCTAGGATGTTACTGACCGTTAGATCCTGGTCAGTAAACCTGGCCCGACTCCATCTATATATGGATTGGATTGTTTCAAATTTAATAAAACATTATTATAAATAATAATTTAAAAAAATCTAGTTAACTCATGATTCAGATAAATCCGGACAAGATTTAGTATTTTTTTTAAATGTATAATTTAAGATAAATCCGGATTTAGTATTTTTTTTAAATGTATAATTTTAAATTTATTAATATATATACTTTATATTTCTAAAAAAAATTATATTTTTTTAATATAAAATAAAAAATTATATTTAAATACTTAAAAGGATAATATTATATCTTTTTAATATATAATTTGAAGTTCTTATTTATATATATATATATATATATTCTCTATTAAAAAAATTATGTTTTTTTAATGTAAGATTAAAATTTTTTTTGTATATATATTTTATGTTTACAAGAAAAATTTTATATTTTTTTAATGTAAAATTTGAAACTCATTAACATATATACTCTATGTTCTTAATAAAAAATAATTTTTTAATTTTTCAGATTGATTTGGATTGACATATAAAACCCGGGACCCGGTCTCTTGGCCGGGTCAACACTCAAGCCGGGTTTAATAACTATGCATTAGATAATATGGTAACTTATATTTTTTTTAAAATTAGAAAGAAAAAACTAATTGTTTGATAAAACAGCTATTGTTTTTTATATTAAACTTGCTTATAATTTAAAAAAAAAAATTAATTTTGTAAGAATTATAATGATTTTTTTTTTTAAAAAAATTTAATTTTGTAAGAATTATAATGATTTTTTTTATCTATAAAGACTTATTTTTATTTATTTTATATGTAAAAATTCATTTAATAACCGTTTTAACTAAACACTTATATTTTAAATACACTTTAAAATTTATAGCTAAAAGTATTTTTTTTAAATCTATTTTTTAAAACCACAAAAACTACTCTAATGTTAAAAATATATTTTGTTGGTTAGTTTATCATTTATACTGCTATTTTGGGCTCAAATACTTGAAAATAGTAATTAAACATCCATACAGGACTAGATGAATGGGCATGCGATGTTGCTAAAGTGGTGAGAAATTCTTAAGTATTTTCATTAAACTCAAATAAATCAAATATATGATTTGATTAATTTTTTAGATTAGATTTTAAATTAAATTATATAAATAATTTAAACATGACTTAGTAGACTTCACGAATATAAAAGAAAAAAAACAAATAACCAATATATATATATAAATTACAGGTGCACATGTTCAAAAACAATATAAATGATTAGTAAAATCATAGTTTAACTTAGAAAATATCAATATTATATTTTTTAAACATTAAAATAAAAATATATTAAATTGAACATTATCAATTTAAAAAAACCTATCAAATTTATGACTCAGCTATGAATTTCATTAGGGTCAACAAATTTTTTATCTAATTATATGATAAGAATATAAAAATTAATTTAAAATTAATTAAATATTAAATAATAAAATTAAAAATAAAATAATAAAATTTTTAACTAAAACCTAAATTGAAAGATGAGATTGAAAATATTTTTTAAAAAAAGATAGGCCAACCACATGTTTTAGTGGTCCAATGTGACTAAACCATAAAAAAAGTATGGGAGCTTGGCTCTAAGATGGATCCAGAAGCCTGGGTCATACTTTTTTTTTCTTTTTTTAAGGGGTAAATAACTATTTTTTATATTTTATTAAAAAAATAATAAACAATACATTATTTGTTGTGAAAGATAATGTGTCATTTGTTGGGTTATAGACATATATTTTAGCCACTATTATGGTTATCAAAAAAATAATAAAAGAATAAGTTTTTTGGGTTGGGTATTTATATTTCAACCCATTCTTACCTAAAAAACCCATAAGGTTTAGAAACAAGAAAATAAAATAAAATAAAATACAAAAAACAACCTTTCAAAACCACTTAACCATCTAAGAAACTCAAGGAAAAAAGGTAATCATATTATTGACATCTACAATGCAATATAGTGCAACACTACGTAGTCATAATGTCTCACATCTTACTTTTTTATTAATAAGCCATAACTTTATAGGAACTCTCATGGAGGATATTACACACACTACTAAAAATTTAACAAATAAAAATAAAAATGTTGATAAAAAAATATTTTGTTAGTATAGTGATATAACATTTTCATGGATAATCTCCGATAAAAGTAGTGATGAAATGTTTTTCATAAGTAATTGTCAATGAAAATTATGATAAAATAAAAAAATAAAAAATTTATTTGTAATTTGACTTGTCAACAATGCTAATAAATTAGGGATGAAAATTCCATAGGTAAATTTAAATAAATTAAAACCTGAGAATTGTCTCTTCCACCTATTTCTTCTTCTTCCCTGTAAAAATAACAGCACCCCTCCTCTAATTAATTATTAAATCTAAGCCACCCAACCCACTAACATCAACCTACATTTGTTAGTAGCGTCAACTACCCTTTTTTGTTTATATTTCTTCTTAACCTTCTTTCCACTGAGTAAACAAACTTACTCATTTTTCATAACCCTTATATGTTTTAGATTAATTTATTAAATTTTGTTGTATTATTTATAATTAACTTGTATATTTAGTGTTTTATTATTTTTTCATAGATAATTTTACTGTATTAATGTATGATTTGTAAGTTAAAGCATGTTTGAGATTTGAGAGAAATTAATTTTATTTGTTATTTGATAAAATTAAATTTGATTTTGTAACTTATATATATGTTATAATTGAACAAATAATTGTTAATTTAATACGTATCAATTATATTTTGTTGATTTTATTGTTAAATTAAGAGTTTAAGTAAAATTGATTTTTGTGAAATTGATAATTAGTTATTAAATTTTGAGTTTATTTTTAATAAAAAATTAAATTTAAAATTAATATTTATGTTATTAATAAATATTGTTATCAATATTTGATATAGAAATTAATAATTACATTATTCAAAAACTAAAAGTGAGATTAAGCCTTGCAAACAAAAGAACAAAAATATATCCATTTTAATAAGAAGTCTTATTCAAGGTTATGCAGAAAAAGAGAATCGAGAAGCCTAAAGTCTGTGATGTTGCTCGTAAAGTTGCTCTAGTATATGCTTTCCCACTTTTAATGTTTTATGATTTGTGAATTGGGAGATGTTACCTTTAGTTTCTATTTACTAAGGTGTTGTAGGTGGATTCTTTATGCTTTTTCATTTTAATGGTTTTTTCTCTCTTATTCAATGAAATCAAGGAGAGAATCAAGAAAGCTAAGGATGAAAACAAGGTAACCAAGACATGGAAAACACAATCCAAGCTTAAAGGTGTTGCACCTAAGGATCCTAAACTTGGTGGTGGTGGTGGTTTATTTGTTTGTTTCTTTTATTTTTTAAAGTAGATAAAACACTCAAAAGTTTCTTATTTTTTCTTCCATATGTGTTGGTCTTAGAGGTCAAATTTCAATTATAGATTTTGCCGATGATCTTGGCTTGGAACATTTTTTTTTTAACTTGAATGGAAGGCTTTTTAAGCCATTAATAATTGTTGTTCTTATCTTGTTTATTTATGTTTTTCTTCTTTCATTATGTTTAGTTAAGTTTATTATGTTATAGTGAAAAAGTTACACTAATGGTGTAATAACAAGTATAATGTAAACTCAACATGGACTTTTAATGTTTGATACTAACATATTTTATATTTGTTATCTTATTTACTTTTAATACGTTGCTTGTTAAATTATTAATCTAGATTTGTGTTATATAACACTTGGTATAACAAATACTTGACACTTTCATATCTTAACCGTATGGTATAACCAATACATATGCTATGAAAGGAACTTGATTTGTTGTTAACATAAGTTATAATAATGAATAGCTGACAACATTTACAAGTATTAGCTTTATTAGAATAAAATAACTAATGTAATCACGTTAACAATTTATAATCCGATTGGAACCTCCTTTGTGTGTGGTTTCCAGTTGAGTAATAAAAAGAGTTTATACTATAC